CTGCTCGAATGACACCATCCCCTTGACAAAATCTGTGACAACGCCAATCCTCCACTTAAGTAAAGATAAAGACGGTTTATCCACCTCATTGCAGTAAAAAAAAATGAATTGCAGGGTTGAAATACTACTCTAAATAACTATAATTATTAAAACTAATCCTACTGTAATATTTACAAGTGAATATTCTAATCATCATTATACGTAAATGTTATAAAAGAACTTGAGCGTTGTGTGCGGCAGAAGCTCTTGTTTCCATACTACATGTACCTTACGCGTGGAAGCGGTTCTCAGATTATATCTACTTCCAGTTCTCGTATCCTTAGGGGCTAAAAAATGAATTGGGTGATTATTTTGTGACATCTTGGAAATATAATGAATACAAAGTTACACCCTCCTCTTTGCCAGGCTACTAAGCTTAGTACAGCTAAGTGCATTATCGTAAGTAAGTGATGGATACATGATGCACTGTGCCATTTTCTGGATTGATTCCAGTTTTCTTGACAGGAATTCCGGGATGTCCTGCAATACCTGTACACCATATTCTCTAAGGTTGTATAGTTGTATAGTTGTTAAATACACCCTCAAGGTCAAATCATTAGCTACTTCTATATAATGTCCACGGCAGAAAACTGACTGGAATTATCAAACAAAAACAGCTTTAATCTCAGTAAACACAAAGGCTCAAATCTCACACATGGTTTGTAGGGAAGGTCTGTAAAAACCAAGTGCCCAGATAACTTAAAACGAGGGCTTGCCTTGTTTTGAATTCTCTGCTTAACGAGAGTATGATCTCTAGCGTTCAGGCTGTGAGGCTTTGTTCGACATTTGAGGTCACCGTAGGCCTTCATACGCGCCTTTGCTTCTTGGTCCCTGTGCATGGCTTAAGCATCAGGATTAACTTGTGGGATGGTGGGGAGCTTGGTCCTCACTGCTCAGTTCATACATAACTTGAAAGGGCTTTTTCCAGTGCTTGGGTGAGGTGTAGCCCCATAGTTGGCTACAAACACATATAACTCTCTCCTCCAATCTTCCCCTTAGCTTTGTGTGGTTCTTGCGACCTTGCTAAGATTCTTCATAAAGTTTTCTGCATGGCCATTAGCTTCCGGCCATAAAGGTGTTATTTTCCTCTAGTGGAAACACTTTTCCATGGCAAACTCATGGAAAGCCTGACCTTGAAATGGGGGTCCATTGTCAGTTTTCAGGACTTCTGGTATCCGGTGGGTTGCGAAGATTCATTCCAGTGCTGGAAGGGAATTCCCTGCCACAGTACTAGGACCAATCTCTACCTTAGGATACTTTGAATAAGCATCTAGGACAACCAAAACCATTTATCTAGTGGGAAAGGGTCTGCAGAAGTCTGCTGAAGCTTCCAGCCATGGGCCATTTGGGGTGGACGACATCTTTAGAGGGTCCCGTTGTGTTGATGCTCGCTGTCCACTTAAAAAAATTGTGTATGCCTCATGAAAAGTCTTAAAAATATGCCTGAGAGCCTCGAAACGATGACTGATTGTCCAACTCCGTGCGCTGTTGTGAAAATTTTTGATCACTGGGGCGATGTTTTGATTTGTGTTTTGATAAACACAAGCGCACCTTCTCATTGGTTGAAGAGTGTCACGCGACCAGTTGGCCCTGTCCTTAACTTTTGGGATATTCCAGACTGGTAATGCATGTAATGTAACCCTGTCAATTGGACATATAGGTATTTTACATTTAGCACTCCCCCCCCTGTGAGTTACAGACCATACTGATACTAGCCTTTCATTCCTTGAAAACCACCTCAACTGTAAAATATTCAAAGCACTTTAGTTCAATTATAACATGTTACAAATGAACTGTTGAACTGCAAAGAACAACAAACAAATATGCTGTTAACATTGGTTCAGAGACTAATATGATAATGGAAATGTAGTTCCTGGCTTTAGAGGCTATACATCACTTAACTGCTTCTGAAAAGTTGGGAACCGTAGAAAAAGTAATGTAATAAACCAGTGCAGAAAAAAAAATAATTGAAGCTAATATACAAATCATAAAATTTTGAAATGGTCCTATTGGAAAAAGGAAAAAAAAGACGTTCCATTCCGTTAAAATAATTCTTTCATGAGCAAGATTTTTATTTTTAAGGCCTTCAAATGCATAACCATTTGTGATTTACGTAGAATTTTAAGACAATGAGTTGACACTGGTTGACGGTATTTACTACATGTATGATTAATTTTATTCAATATCAAAAGAGACCGAGTGGCTTGTTTGCTTCTTGCACTGGGATTTTTACATCTTCACATAAGCCATGCAAGGAAAAAAACAGAGGGGGGCAACCTAGTAAAAATGACGTTTTACGTTAAGGCCATCCTTCATTCTTTTATTAATTGACTTTATTTGTTGTAGATGTTTTACATTTAGCCCATTCTTCATTCTTTTATTTATTGACTTTATTTGTTGTAGAACAAGCAAGGAATCTATTAAATTAGATTTAAAATGTACAAAAAAATCTACGTATACAGCTTCACTTATCGTAGTAGTGCTCAATGCATAAAAATGTGCAGAGCGAAATACAAATGAAAAGGATAGAAGTTAATGGAGTTGTAACTCGGAGTTTCATGAACTAAGCGATCGTCAGATTAAAAACTCTGGAAACTGATTTCAGTTTTTACTGAGGAAATTTGAAATTCATGGACGGTTGGAACAGCGCATTCTGTGATTGGTTGCGAAAAACTTGTTCTCCTGATGACACTTGGTTACCAGCTCGGATCATTTATTTAGGATAGTATCGTTGGCAGTCAAGATACAGAGTTTCTCAGAAAGGCACAAATTGCAGCGTGACGGATTTCCCTTGTAGGCGTTTGCCGTCTTGATGATACACTACTTGATGTCATATATCGTGTCATTGTTCTTTAGTTCCCAGATGTGTTTTGAAAGAACTGTGTCATGAGAGAAAAGAGAGTTTGTGGTTGTTGAATCTTGTTTTGAGGTCATTTTCCCTCATGCCGATGTAGTTACTAGTAGTTCTGGATGCTGTCGTGACTGTCACTTTGTAGATGACATTATTTGTGAGACATTTTCCATCAAGAGGGCAAAGGTTCTTGTTTCTGCAATTACATGTCCTCCTGTTGTCGGTCATTTCGCAGTCATTAAATATCTTCCTGTTGTGGTTTTTGATCATGTTGGCCATGTTAGGGAGCACGTCCAAATATCGATCGGGAACCCGATCATTGGAAACGGACCTGATTTATTTTCCAATGGTTGGGAATCGGTACCGTTCTTTAGGCACCATGCAGTTGCTTTGGCGGAGGTTATCCAAACAAAATAAAACTTGGGCAACGAGCGAGAACAACAAAGATTTTAACTAGCAATCCGAGAACTACACAATAACACAACAAGATGGCGGATCTCGCGAGCGCATGCTCGAGTCTCTAGTCTGTGGGGGACTAAGTCCTGTTTTGGTAGAATCCGCTGGCTAAAGGGCAGTCGGCAACATAGCCACCCATGTATACGACTGTAGTCTATACACTACGTTCGGCCTCCTCAAGGAGGCAAAGCTTGGCCACTGGCCGTTTGAATGTCCCTTGTTTCATCTGAACTTCAACAGTGCGATTGAGGCCATCATCTCCTGGTAATGTCTTGACGATTCAGCCAAGATTCCTTCTGCCACGGGGTAAATTGTCCTCAACCACTAGTACCAGGTCTCCAATTTGGGCATCAGTTTGAGATCTGGTTCTCCACTTCCTCCGCTCAGTAAGTGTGGGCACGTACTCACGTAACCATCGTCTCCAGAAATGGTCGGTTAGCATCTGAGCTTGTCTCCACCGCTTTCTGGAATTCAAATCTCTCTCTCATCAAAGACATCAGGAGGTACGTTCGGGCTGTTCCTTCCAATGAGGAAATAGCCTGCATGACAGGCGCTTTATGAGCCAAGCGGGGCGAACGCGACATTTCGCGCGGAGCGCAACACGAGCACAAAGCACGAGACGAGGGGAAGAGAAAAATATAGCGCCTGTTCGCAGTCCATTGTTCTTGCTGTTCCGTCCACTTACGCCCACAAATATTAACTACCCGCAGTGATGTCAAAAAAACCAATCAAAACACGATCCATTATCGCACGAAAATTGTCACCTTTCTGGCGCAAAGCGTCTGCAGTAGAAATGAGGAGTTACGACTGTTCCCATGGCTTCACGAACTCCTACCAAAGTTTACGGGCCTAAATCATTTAATTCTTTATGTAGGACAGTGTTAAACACAATAATTTATTTAGTTGTCACATCTAACTAAAACATCAAACTGGATTTGATATGAAAATGTCATTCTTTTATTTACATAAACTGGAAACACTTACAATGCGTAATGTGGTATTTCTGACAGTGTAAATCTACATACAATTCCAATTTCGTTACATCAATCATTCACAAAAAACTGTACAAAAGTCAAAAAAAAGTCAGGAAATCACAAATCACGCCGTCGCTATCGGTTCAAGGTTACAAAGGTTAAAATCAGTTACGGGAAAAACTGCGAGTCACGAAAACAAAAAAAAAACCTTCAATGAAACTTTTGATCCCATAAAGTTCAAACAAAATCCTGATAAAAGAGTCCCTAATATTTCCTAAAGAGTTCTGAGCGAATGTTCCTGAATTACTTGCCAGTAAAATCCACTTGCAAAGTCCTTGATCCACGAAAACAAATTCCTCACAAGAAGCCTTTAAGGTGTTCACACAAAGTTCCCACGCACAGTCCTGCTTTGTTCCATAAATAGATTCCATCCAGCGAGCCTTTGATGACAAAACTTGAAACAAAATCCGCTATAAAAGTTCCTGATTCGTACTTAACAGAATCCAGTAATCTTGTGAAAGTCAAATCCAAAAGTCAAATCCCGTGAATAAAGGCTATCCGTTAAAAGTCCATTTTGTGACAATCGCCGTAATTGAATTAGTAGTCCGCAAGTGAACATCTTTTTTCAAAATGCAAAAGTTTCCAGAAAATTTCAGGGCGGACTTCTTGAACTTATTTATTCAGGTCTTCCTCAGCCACATTTCTGCACTACCAAACACCAACTTGTATTCGCCCTTTAGTATATTTTCATCCGTTT